GAAAGGGGACCAACTTAGTTGGGAAGCTTCCTTGGGGTCACCTGCCACAAGTATGATGACCCCCCTATCAACTTATAACTCTATATATTCAAATGTTGTGTGTCGTAATTCGTATAGGGTGCTTTATGTTTTTGCTCATCAGGCTTCAACGTGGCAGCAGCTGGGGACAACCGAGTTCATCAACAAGCACTGGACTCTTTACAGTGGCATTGAAGGAGTAGATGCTGGTTTTCAAACTAAACAGATCTCATATTTAGCTAATTAAGTTATTTACGAAGAATCCCTCCTTTTTCATGGCCTTACCTTTTGTATCGTAATCTTATTAATCATTAGATCAGCCGTGTTTTATTAATTAATAGTCTTATGCTGCACAAAATCATTCCGAGCCCAATGGGAAAGTGGAAGTGATATTTTGTCCGAGACAATTAGAGACCTGTCACCTCTTAGCCTCTTTGGTGAGGTCAATGTGTAGGTCTGGACTTGGTCTTGTTCCAAATCGGTCAGCCCTGGGTTGGGGGAGCGGAATTGAAGAGTTGGAAGAAAAACTAGAGAAAAAAATGACGTTAGGACTGAAACTGGTTTGACAATAATCTGAGTAATTCCAGAACCGGTCAATAGGGAAACATAATATCAATAGCACTATAGCAGTGGCATGGTATACAGGGCTTTCTCAGACATGTCAAAATAAGGACTGAAATTGTTTAAAAGTATAGCCGTAAATCCCAACTTGATCAGAATCAGATCAAAACCAATGGTCGTAGTCCTAGAAATCCGGGTGCATAACTAATGGTTTTAGTTAGTGTTTCATTTCTTTTCGAAATTAAGTGCCCTTTTAAAATTGCTTTTTGCAATATTATAAGCATTCCATTAGTATGGGTTAGCTTGAATGCTTGATCAATGTATATAAAACCATGAGGAAAAATAGGAAAGGTGAACGAGAATCACCCCCCAAGAAAAGTGGGAATAATCCCGATCAATATGGGATCCAAGCGCAAGCATACATTCACGATTCATCTAAAAAAGAAGAGGTTTAAATAGGGAGGGTAGCGGAGATCATTAATCCCTTTTCTCTCTTCCATTGTTGGGCAAATGCCCTTAAACTCTTCCGTTGACTGAAAAGATGGAAAAGGGTATCTCATCATTTTCGGATTGATGGCTACCCTTAAGGTTCTGTTATTCCTCTTCGTGGTTTCTGTCTTCCATGCCAATGCACAACAATCTTCTTTAGTTCTTCCGGCGACATCGTCCTCCTTTGAACCATTCATCCCTAAAGACAACTTCCTTCTCGACTGCGGCTCCAACACCTCCACCACCGTCCCTGGAAACAGAACCTTTCAGCCCGATAACTCCACGACCGAATACCTCTCTTATGATGGTGCCGACATTCAGGTCTCCCTCAAATCTGCTAATGTCTCTCCAATCTACCGCACCGCGAGGGTGTTCGCGAAGAATGCCACATACACTTTTCCCGTCTCCTCCCCGGGCTGGCATTGGATCCGCCTTCATTTCCACGCCCTTAACACCACCTTGTACGATCTCAGGACCGCAAGGTTCTCGGTGGAGACGGACCGTGTAGTCCTTCTCCACCAATTCGAGCTCCAAAATGACACCAGCGTGATCATGAAGGAGTTTTTGGTCAATGTGACCGCGGAGGAGCGTTACGCCTTGAGGTTCAAGCCTAAGGGGAATGTGGCATTCGTTAACGCCATAGAGTTTGTTTCGGCGCCGGAGGGGCTGATCGGGGATTACGCCACCCTCCTCTCCCCTACTTCCCAGCAATTTGAGCTTTTGAACAATAACCTTCAGGTTCTTTATAGGCTCAACGTGGGGGGTCCACTTATCGGATCACAAAATGACACGTTGGGAAGAAGGTGGGACCCGGACCAGGGTTACCTTGACCCGAAGGAAATGGGTAAGGTTTTTTCTGTTTCAGCGGGGGCGGTCTCATATCCAATCGGTGGCGGCCGCGACGGCGACGGCAGCTCACCGTTGATAGCTCCGCCGTTGGTTTATTCGTCAGCAGCCGAGCTTGCCGACTCCAAAGTCGTTCAACCTAATTTCAACATTACATGGAAACTCGACGTCAACGTCCATTTTTCCTACCTGATTCGCCTCCATTTTTGTGACATCGTTAGCAAGTCTCTGAATGAACTGTACTTCAATGTGTACATTAATGACGATATCGCTATTTCCGGTCTCGATCTGTCGACGTTGACGAGAAAGCTGGCGACGGCTTACTACAAGGACATCGTCGTGAATTCCACGAACGTTTCGAGTCCCCTCCAAATAAAAGTTTCTCCGGTAGATGAAACTCAGGGGATAAGAAACGCCATTCTCAACGGTCTCGAGGTGTTTAAGTTGAACAATTCCGTCGGGAGCCTGGGCGGAGAATACGGCGTTGACGGAGAGATAGCAGCTGAGGACGGTAGCGTGAGCAGCCATCAAACGGTGGCGACTGTCGGATTCGCTATGATGTTCGGTGCGTTCCTAGGGTTAGGAGCAGTCGCTGTGAAGTGGCGAAAAAGGCCCGAGGAATGGCGGAGGAAGAACAGCTTCTCTTCGTGGCTTCTTCCAGTCCACACAGGAGACACAGCTTTCCCAATCAGCAAGACTCCTCCAGGATCAAAGCCTAGCCAATTGGCTGAGTTTGGCAGGCACTTCTCTCTTGCTGAATTGCAAGAAGCAACGAATAATTGGGAGACAAGTAGAATCATAGGGATTGGAGGATTTGGCAGTGTATATCTAGGAGAAATCAACAATAGAACGAAAGTTGCGGTAAAACGGGGGAATCCAGAATCTCAACAAGGCATCCATGAATTTCATACTGAAATCCAAATGCTGTCTAAACTCAGACACAGGCATCTTGTGTCTCTAATTGGATATTGTGACGAAAACAAGGAGATGATTCTAGTTTATGAGTATATGGCAAACGGACCATTGCGGAACCACCTTTACGGGAAGGGGCTCATTCAGGCCCTTCCTTGGAAACAAAGGCTCGAGGTCTGTATAGGGGCAGCCAGGGGACTCCACTACCTCCACACGGGTGCATCTCAGGTGATCATCCACCGGGATGTCAAGAGCACAAATATCTTACTTGATGAAAACTTTGTGGCAAAGATGGCCGATTTTGGCCTCTCCAAAAGCACATCATCTTCTGGGACTGACTCTGATCAGACTCACATCAGCACAGCCGTTAAGGGTAGTTTTGGTTACCTTGACCCGGAGTACTTTCGCAAACAACAGCTCACAGAGAAGTCGGACGTGTACTCCTTCGGAGTGGTTCTTCTAGAAGCATTGTGTGCGCGGCCTGCCATTGATCCGCAGATGCCGATGGACCAGATGAACTTGGCTGAGTGGGCCATGAATAGGAAGAGAAAGGGGATGTTGGAGAGGATCATTGATCCCAGCCTTGTTGGTCAAATCAACCTGGAGTCAATGAAGAAATTCGCGGGAGCAGCTGAGAAATGCTTGGCTGAGTATGGTGCTGATAGGCCTAGTATGGGAGATGTGCTGTGGAATCTGGAATATGCATTGCAGCTTCAAGAGGCTTCTTCTTCATCGCAAGGAAGGGCAGAGGATGAAAACAAGTGGTTTGCAGCTCCAAATTCCCCTGCTGTGCTTTCTCCAGCCAACTGTGATGTCCGCTCTGAATATGATTTAGATAGCTAAAATCAGTTAGGTTATGTAGTAGTTTCAAGCCAGCAGATGCTTCTTTGTATATATTAGAAGTTAGAACTGATCCCTAACTGTCTGACCATTAGTTACTTCGTTAGTTTATAGTGCAACGTCTTTGACCTTATTTTATTATGAGCTCACCTTTGGTTTTGTATGTTTTTTCTCTGCAGGTTTTGTTTCCTTTTCTGAAAACAAAAACCCCAAAATGTGTTATTATAATGATACATATTCATAGTAACAACTAATTATTCACTTATTCAGTTATTATAATCATGTTAATTTGAAAGTTTTGCTCCAACATAATTACCAACTTAAATCTTCTAATCCTAACTACAGCCATTCCACAGTTAACATTGTATATCAAGAAATTCTAGAATTAGCAGCAAGATGATAACTTTAATGTCAATTTTTAATGAGTAGAAAGATACAATTTCACGTTTAAAATTATTGAATATTAGCAAAACGAGTAGTTCTGTAGTTTTTCTATTTTGCAGGTGTTATATATGGAAAACTATAAGCTGATATCAGACTTACTTCCTGGGGCTAGAGAGTTGACTTGTAAATTGCTTATTTTGGATAAACATTGACCTCGAAAGGATACTCATACGACCCTTGCGGCCTTGCATATTTGTTTATACTCGTATAAATATCTCACACTTTTTACATAAGCACATATTTAAACATTCAAGTAACAATCCTATTTTGCTCACAAGTATGGGGATTGTAAGGTACAACACAGCTATTATCTAAAAGAGAACCCATAACAATGACAAAACGATTATCTTTTCCGCGCATGTATAATAGGCAAGTCATACAAGCCAGTTCAATAGAAGCACATGAATGTTTTGGAAATTCGTATTTACAACATTTTCCTTTTTGCTTGGAAATATTAAAATTGTACAGGTCTACAGGATAGTACTTTTTTGGATTCCTAGATTTTTTTTTCAATCAAAATATTAAAAATTAGCACAAATTAAACTAAAGCACTTTGAATCCTCCCTGAAAACATGTATCCGGTAACTCCGGTTTTGTCATTGTTTACAAAATATTTACAAGCAGATAACCATATATAGCAAATACCTATTTCGCATATGCTCTATTCTATTAATAGTATAGATTGAATAGTTCTATAAACCCTGATTATGATAAGAGTCAGAACATATGAGCTCCATTATGTGGCAAACAAAGACAAGATCACCAGAGGTATACATGGTTTTGTAATCTTTCATGCGAAATGGAGTGATGATATGTGGTTATGGCTATTACCACTTCCCATCTCAATGATATGTAAATAATGTAATCATAAATTATGCAACCAAAGCAAATTTCAGAGCAATCACTTCTCTACATATAGGAGGCCTGAACAAAAATGCTTGCAGTTGACTTTGTGACAGAGACATTAAAACATCCAGTACGTAGTATTAGAATCTGAATTTCCTTTACACAGCCAGGAGTATACACTTTTCAAGGTAATTTGCTTGAAATATGTTAAAATGTGATTAGGAACAAAATCTGATGAACCCTGAGGTATAAAACCATCCATAAGAATTAACAGGTACATCCCCTAAAGATCAATTTTAGGTGTCAAAAAACTAGAAAGCCCAATCACTACTTTCCTCCTATTTAAGATACAAAGGACCGAATTGGATGTTCATAAATCCACCCTCAGCTTCTTGCTACCATCAGAATTCCCATCAGGCAGGACAAATCCATCCCCGTCATCATCAAGCACTTCCACATTTCTCTCACCCTTTTCACTGCAATTGCCTGTCAACTTCCTTTTCTTTCCGGAAGGAAGAATTTTCAAGTCGTCATCATCAGCCTCATTGGTTTCCAGAGGTACAGCAGTTTGACTTGTGGATGAGCTTGCACCATTGCCAAGCGGTGTCTCAGTTTCATTTTTGGTGGTCAAATGTGGTGTCCATCCAGATAAAATCATGCCATCAGGTTCCTTCTCCTCATCAAACTCTTCCCTTAAATATTGAAAGAGATAAAATATCACTACAGTAGGAAACATCAAGATAAAAAACCAAGTACAGATAAGAGTCATAGATAAAGCTAATTTATAAATAAATAAAACATCACTCGCTTAGGGTCTGTTTGGAACAAAAAATATGCCAAGGAAAATATAAAAACTTGGCTCAAAGTTAATTAAATAAGTTTTAGATATTTGTTCAAAATCATTCTTTCTATATACTATTATTCCATAAAGGCTAATTGTTATTTTGTGTATTACAGAGAGGTAAGTAATCTAAACACGTGTAACATTTTAAAACTATTTAATCAAGTTTTAGTTTTCTTCATATTTTCCATGGCAAATTAAGTGTAACACAAAAAACCATTTCTCATTAGATTAAACATTCTTTCTTCCCTTTCCCCTACCACTTTCAAGGTTCCAAGCTAAAATCTTAAGGGGTAAAATGCAACTGAATGTTTTACAAAGACGAGGATAATGCCTTTTACATTTGTTCAATCCACTAAAGTACGTATTATACCACAAGTAATTCAAAAATGAACAATCAAATAGTGAGCAACAAAAGCGCAACAAACCTATGCATGATATTGATCTTGCAGGTAAGCTCCTGTTGAAGATCCTCAACTGTAACACTCGATCCGCCAGTAATGGGAGATGGAAGCTCACATAGCACCTAAGAAAAAAAATGAGATAGAATCATTCCACTATGGAGGTACATAAAGAGAAATAAAGTAAAAAACTGTCATACTTTGTCGAGGTTTGCAGTGTAGTTAGCAACCATGTCTTCCTCAAGATCATCCCCCACTTCATAAAGAAGTGCTGCTCCTAGCATTATCAAAGGCAAATTCATCCCAAGTTTTGCTCTTACAATCTTTTCAACGAAATCCCTCAACTTCGTGGAGTGAGTGTTGATCTCCAGTGTTAAAGGCGTCTGTTAAAAGACGAGATTAATCAAAGTGAACTTAAAAATAAATTCACCAGTAACATTCCGAGATATTACCCAAAATAGGACTAAAACAGTTTGAAAATTCCAAAATAGGACTTCCATGTTTTTATTCCCGAAATAGGACTAATTACTGTCATGTTTTGATAGTACCAGACTTTAAACATGGCAGTATTTTCCATGTTTGGCATTAATTAGTCCTATTTTGTGAATAAAAACATGAGTCCTATTTTGGAATTTTCAAACTTTTTTAGTCCTATTTCGGGAACTTTCCCTAACATTCCATAAACAAATAAACAAAAGGACTGCATGCTTGAACATGAAGTTTGTACCTCAGAACACACATAGCAGGACTTGTTGGGCTCAAATGGCTCAATTGGCATCAGAATCATCTTTCTGGAAGGATGTTCAAGACAATAGGTCATCCTGCATATATTAGAACAGCAGCACTCAAGAAGCAATACTATTATGTCACTAAACTAACAGTCTAGCAGATCTGGAAAGGCTAGGCAAAGTTTATTTCACTGAAAATGCAATCACTGCATCAGTTGAATGTCCTTACATGAAAAGCGTTTGTTCACATCCATTTCAACAAAACAAGTCAAAAGCTACTAACTCTGCTGATAATCAGAATATTAGAATAAGGCCATTATGGCTACAAGAAGCAGCATAAACTAGTCGATCTCGTGTATACTAGGCAATGTTTTCTGCTGAATAAAGAAAGAGTAACAATTAAGATGATCTTTTATAGGAACATGATCCAATGAATCACTTACCAAAATACAACTTAAGATATTTGATATACATACCGATAGTTCTTCAAATCATTCTGCAGCACCTTAATAGCCTCGATCACAATCAACCCAGAAATAATAGCATTTGTTGTAGCAACAGCATGCACAATATTCCCAGCAATACCTTTAGTTTCAAAAAGGCTATGCGACGGGATACCAAATGATGTTGCCCTAATATTAGCAGCAGCAGTTATAAATTCCACAGCTAATTGATCATCTTTGTCAAAATTCAAGTTACCAATATCCTGAAGAGATTGGATTGAGGATAATAATGATAAGCATGCACTGCATAACTAAGTAAGTGCCAAACTACATCAAATGTATTTACACAAGAACAAACATAAAACTGAGGGTTCATGTCAAACCTTCATCCTTTCTGAGTAAAAAAGCTTTAGTGCTTCTAGAAATACTAAAGTGTTTTCTTTCAGGCTCCAAAGCTCTTGAGGATTTTTAAAACCCAGTTGAGTCATTGCAGAAACTGAAGAGGGATCATTTGTTTTAGAATTTCTATTTCCATTCAGTTGAATCTCTTCAGATGAAAATACATCTTTAATGTGTATAGGCCTAGGCTTGTTGCGATTCTTCCATGTTTCTTCATTCGATAGTGCTACCTCAATGTTATAGCCAAAAACATGATCATATATTCTCCTCCCATAATCTTCTATTTCTTCTCCTTCTCTACGCTCAAAAACATCATCTGCATTCTCTGATGAACTAGAAGTGTCATTAGAATGGACATTAAGATCATTTGCCTGATTCTGGTCCCCAAAAAGCTTTGCAAAAAGAAGGTCTTTTGCCCATACAACACAGTGAACAAACTGAAAATGTCAGAAACTGTGTCAAAGAAAATTCATAAAAGGACAAGTCATATATAATAATGCCATGGAAACTTTATGTTAAGATCAAGCTACTAGACATTCAACAGAAAATAGTAATAATGTTAGTAACAGAACAAGTCCAAAACTATTTCCAGATGGAATTATCATCATATAGAGTTTTTAACAAAAAATGATTTTCTCATCAGAACCCAATTTGTTAAGAACCGTTCTCTGTAGGCATAATATCCTCCATACCTTTGAAGGAGTACTTGTAATAGTACACACAGGGTAACTCTTGGGAGCTGGTTTAGGCTGGCATTCATAGCATTCAGTTTTTCCCTTCACATGCACAGTAACCTGTGAGGAACGACAGGCAAAACAAAATGCACTTTAGTATATTATTACATAAGCCAATACACATATTCACTTGTGTTATTTCACTGAGTTTTGATAGGCTTATAACTTCTAATGAATAAGTTCTTAGCATAATTCCACAAGTTAGTTCATCAAGCTTAAAGGTATACTGAAACCAGTTTTAAAAGAACAGATGCTTCAAAGAAGTCTTTAGCTTATGTTCTTTTAGGGCATTAGATCCTTAAAGGAAGTCTGTAGCTTATTTAAAAGTGCTAACTGGAAAGCATAATCTCCGAAGTACTTTAACCGAGTTATCAGATCGGGTTCACAAAAATCACAAAAAGTTTCCCTATTTACACTCAAAAATTCCATCCTATCCCGTTTAAAGAGTTATGAGTGTCATGCATAAAACTCAAGAATTTGATGCAGCTCGCATATAGACAGATTAAAAATAAGTTACCAAATTATGAAACAAAATAGATCCATATATAAGGGAAAAACCTGTCCAAGGAATCCAGTTGTTCCACTCTCAACCAATGGAATGCCTGTTGCCAGGCAAAGGCGGTTCACATGTCGCCTAGCATCTAAATTGTCAAGCCCATTAAGAACAACATTGAATTGCTTAAAGAAATCCACATTGAAGTCGGGGTCTTTAACATTTGCATGGTAGGGTGTGATTTTTATTCCAGGCCTAAACTTTAAGACGGCCTCCCTAGCAACCTGGTAGAATTTTGAAAAACCATTACGGGAATAAATCAAATTCACAAAGTAAGACATGAACTAAGAAACTTACTTTAGCCTTCGATTGCCCAACATGAGATTGTCTGAACAAAAACTGTCTGTTCAAGTTACTCACTTCTATGGTGTCCATGTCAATCTGCAAAATAGTACAAGAAGCAATACAAAATTAAGCACTTGAGATATAGTAAAGAAAAAAATTAAAAAAACAAACTGAAGGCAAGGAGAAGAAAGAAATCATCAAATTGTTTATATCACATGCACTGTAGTGTAAATAATTTTCTAACACATACATGCATGCATATGTGTGTGTGTCGTGTTCATGTGTGATCTTTGAAATTGAAATCTCCATGGGTATCTACACATTTAATTCTCAAAGAGAGTATGACTAATTGACAATGACCCTAAATCTCATTGCAAATGCTCTAGCTTCATGAAACTACTCCAGTATCATAATTGTCATTAGTCAATAAGTACTGATATAGTGGAGTAAAACCTGTTTTTCCTACAAATATGTAGTTTCACTAGTTTTCAGTACAAAATTTTAAATTTAACTTAATCCCCTAACTCTCGCGTAACTACCATTCAAAACATATAGCTGATAGAATCTTTAGATGTAACTTGCAGCATTTTAGGTTATTGAATCTCTTCAATTTATCAAAGGATCATCTAGAAAATGCCACAACTGAGTTTAGTCAACGAACGAACACTAGCAAATCTCAATACATAATAAGAACCCAAAGTCATAAAACCTAAAATTGCACCCGAATCAGAGTGACAGTTCAACTCACTATGTGAATGTCTTGAAAGCCAGAAAGGGCAAGGGTTTTAAGAAGTTCACAGCCAATACCACCTGCACCAACCATGAGTACTTTGGCACCCTAGATACAGTAAAAAACAGTGACATCAGTTGGTAGAGAAATCCATGTCCTGTCTGGCTCAGTGAACGAGCTTAGCAGACTCAAACAGTGTCATATTTACCTTGATTGCAGAAATCTGGTCGTCCGAAGCCATGTGGCGTACTACAGCATAAACAAAAGGGGGGAATTCTTGAAGATTTAAAGAGAAGGCGCCATAAAAGAGTGATCTGGGGCTCTGAGCAGAAGCGGGATAACTGAGCGTAAGTCTTCGGTAAAAGGGACGGCCCCCTTTTTTTTTCTTTTCAAACTTCGTGGCTTGCTATGTAACTTCCCCGATGATCAATGGACAATGGGTAGACTTGACTTCCACTTTGTTAGATAATCCCTAATTAAATAAATAATTCCCAAAATATTCTTGAATTAAAAAATAATTCTCAAAATACTGTCGGAGTTAACTGTGTTTAAGGAAAGCCGCTACTTGAAGTGGCGGCTCTTCTCTTATAGTACAAAAGTCGTCATTTGAAGTGGCAGCTCTTCTCTTACAGTACAAAAGCTGTCACTTCAAGTGGCGGCTCTTCTCTTACAGTACAAAATCTGCCACTTGGAGTGCGTCTCTTCTCTTACAGTACCACACCGGCTTTTTCAACAAAAAACATAAAATCTACTTGATACTGTACAATCAACTCAAAAGCATCAAACATCGGCTATTGATAGTCAATATAGAGCACTAAAAACATATCTGAGACACACAACGAGTCAATGAACTACATTGGATTACAATACTACAAATATCACATAAAGTCGATAATTCGATCAGCTAGTTCATGCTTAACACAATAATGTAAAGTACAAATATCACAAGTCAACATGATCATTATCATAAAGCTCATGTGGTTGTGCTTGTGCCATGTACACAGATTGGTGGGAACACGGCCACAGTCTGGGACAGATATTCGGGGGTCCGCCTTAAGGATGCCTTGGTTGAGACAACATTTTACTGCTTTACCTGCTGATGGTGATGACGTTGTTGTGCAACATTATACGAGAGCCTACATATTGATGCTTATGGGAGCCTCTACATTTACGGATAAGAGCGGTAATGAGGTGCAAGTTCTTTACTTACCCCTTATGGAGACTTTTGATGTATCAGCGTTATATAATTGGGGAAGTGTGACTTTAGCATACCTATATCAGAAGTTGTGTCGGGGTTGCCATTATGGCGTGGCGAGATGGGTGATTTTTATTGCTCATACATCTATGGTCCAGGGAACACGTTCATATTGGTAGACCTGTCATACTGTAATATCATGGGATAGATGGTGATCCTCTTCATGATGCTTTGGATTTGCACGATCGATCTATACTTGGACTGCTCTGGATCAGGGTACTATCGAAATGCATTAGACGACATGTGTGATGATCAGGTATACCTTTTATATCATTAAGTATAACTACTTTTTGTACGTTTTTATAAACAATGATGTCATAATATTTTGTATTATAGACGACGTGGATGCCATACACATGAGATTCTAGGACAGTTGCCTCCTGTTGGCCGAGAGCACACTGAAACATGGCGAGCATGTGTGCCCTTGATTTGTTTTGATGTAGTGGAACATCACTTTCCTGATCACGTACTACGACAGTTCGGGTTACAACAGGGTATTCCCTTACCTTGTGATACTTCTGTGGACTTGCACAAGATCGACATACGAGGGAAGCACACCGAAGATTGGGGGATGCACTATATTCAGTATATCACCATGTAGGATGAGAGAGCGGCGTATATAGTGGACGGGATCCCATCAGTAGTCTCTGCATGTTATATCACAACATTACACGAGTATTCATCTCTCCCAGATTTCGTCTACCCACCGATCATTACAATCTAGCTCAGTCGTTCTTCATATAACGGTACACAATATATTCACATAAATTACTTTATTTATTTATTTATTTATTTATTTATTTATTTATTTATTTATTTATTTATTTATTTATTTATTTATTTATTTATTTATTTATTTATTTATTTATTTATTTATTTATTTATTTATTTATTTATTTATTTATTTATTTATTTATTTATTTATTTATTTATTTATTTATTTATTTATTTATTTATTTATTTATTTATTTATTTATTTATTTATTTATTTATTTATTTATTTATTTATTTATTTATTTATTTATTTATTTATTTATTTATTTATTTATTTATTTATTTATTTATTTATTTATTTATTTATTTATTTATTTATTTATTTATTTATTTATTTATTTATTTATTTATTTATTCATGTGTTTATCACTAATAATCATGCTTTCATTACAGACAGGGGCTTTGCATACTATCCGTGACAGAGCGACTGTTGTACTTGATGAGGGGCAAGATGTACAAGAATATCATGAGGCACTGTTGCACTCTGTGATGATGTATTGGGCCGAGTAGACCATGGATATGTGGCTGCCTCTCAGTATTCCACTGCATCTACATCCACATCAGGGTCTTCCCAGGCACAATGACGTGATAATGTGGTCCTTTAGCCTCGTAATCAACGCAGGCGCCCCCAATGTCAGGCACAACGACAACCACATGAGCTTTATGATGATGATTACGTTGACTTGTGATATTTGTACTTTACATTAATGTGTTAAACATGAACTAGCGGGCCGAATTATCAACTTTATGTGATGTTTCTAGTATTGTAATCCAATATAGTTCATTGACTCGTTTTGTATCTCAGATATGTTTTGTTTTTTAGTGCTCCATATTGACTATAATTTAATAAATAGTAGTTGTTTGATGTTTTTGAGTTGATATTACAATACTGAGTAGGTTTTTGTGTTTTTTCCGGTTGAATAAGCTGGTGTAGTATGTAAGAGAAGAGCCGCCACTTGAATTGGCGGCTCTTGTACTGTAAGAGAGGAGCCGCCACTGGTGGCTTTTGTACTATAAGAGAATAGTCGCCACTTCAAGTGGCGGCTCTTCTTAACCCCGATTAACTCTAGCAGTATTTCGGGAAATATTTTTAACCTAACAATATTTTAGGAATTATTTAATTAATTAGCATTATTACGGGAAAAAACTCATTTTTAACTTAATACATTTATCAAACACTACGGATTATTTTATCAAAGTACGCCATATAATTTTGGCGACTAGAATTAATGAATTGTCTAAAATTGTAGGGATCATCTTAGCTAATTTTGTATAATTATGTTTTTACTATACAGAAATTGCCCTAAATAGGAGTAAAATCATTTTGAAATTCCAAAATAGGACTTTCATGTTTTTATTCCCTAAATATGAATAGTTCTGCCAAGTTTCAAAAAAAATGTCATGTTTAAAGACTAGTAATGTCAAATTTGACAGAAATTTACTATGCTTATTATTATCAATTATGATAGATGTAGTTAAGTATTATTTTAATATAAATCAGATAATATTAATATTATTATTTATTTTCACAAAACTTGCTAAATTTATTGAATTCTAAATAGCATGACAATCCTTTTCATTAATTGATTGACATGTCTTCAAGAGTGCTCATAACATTACTGTGTAGAATCATTCCATTTTGGATCAAAGTTTTAATACCCGTCTTCCTCCAAAAAGCTTGAATCTCAAATCAAAAGGACCCCTACATTTCGACCCCACAAGGCATATCGAAGGTTATAAATGGCGGTGACTCAGTCAATCAAATGATGGTAGGTCTTGTACCGTGTGCTCTAGAGGTCCAGCCAAACACACAGAGTTGTATCCTTCACACGGTTGGGTTTCTATCCTTGGTCATTCCTCCAACCTTTTTCTTAATACGAAAAAGTGTCGCATAGAAACTATTTAGTCCATTAAATTAGCTAAATTATCAGTATTCTCAGGAAACTTGATTCTTGTACGATTTAGGACACACACATATAAATATGTATACACAGCGCGCATACCCGCACAGGTAACTCAGCTGGTTGAGTGATGGTAAAGTTAAAAGAATGATCAAGGATCGATACCCACACTGGCCGTGTGAAGGTTACATCTACTGCGTGATGGACTGGACCTCTAGTGCGCACTGGCACAATGGCTATCACCATTGGGCCAACTTAATCGTCGTGACTTACAAACTCCCAAAAGTCTTGTTGGGTTGGGGCGTGAATGCCATTGGGGTTGGGGATTCAACCTTGGGAATAATGTATACACAACGCACGCACTCACATATATTATGTAATATAAAGTGTTTCATTTCTTTATTTTGTCTTACGAGAATTATGAAACTTTTCGTACAAAATAAGCCGGCCTCACATAATTGAATTTAAGAGCCAATTTATTTTCTGAATTTCTTACGCTACAAGTTACAATTACTATTTTTTTTGAAAGAAAATTACATTTATACTATAAATACATAGTACTTTTTCCGGTCAATAAAAGAAAATTATATACACCAAATCCAAGTCTTAGTTCAATAAAATATTTTGATAACGCAACCAAAAGGAAAAGAAATTAAAGACAAGTTAAAAAGATAAGCTATGATAAAAAAAATGATAATATAAAAAGAGATGTATATACATAAATATGATAAAATAAAAAGGATATATATATATATATATATATATATATATATATAGAGCGGATCAGGTGAGAAGTGCTCTTAGGCTGAGAACCGCAAAGTTAAACTTATAGACTAAATATAGGAACTTTTAACCAATAAATCATACCTCATAAAGCTCTCCATAATAATTATGAAAATGCCACCCCGTAAAAAAAATCCAGGTTTCCGTAATTATTTTTTTTTGCGGTGGCATTTTTCGTAATTATATATATATATATATATATATATATATATATATATATATATATACACACACACACACACACAGGAATATTCCTGTCCGGAAATTCCGGACAGGAGCCCTCGTCCGGCCTCTTCCATTTGGGGGCCTTCCCGGTGGTATTTTTTTTCTCAAATGTTTTGTGTATGTTCCTCATCAAGTCTAGTTCATCCATACCAAATTTCAGCAAAAAATTCAACCGGGAAGGTCGTCAAATGATTTTTGCAAGTTAACTGGTCCGGAATATGTATTATATATATATATATATATATATATATATATATATATATATATATAGAGAGAGAGAGAGAGAGAGAGAGAGAGAGAGGAAAATGTTCATGTAAGGTACGCCTAAAAGTAACAATTTTAGGCCTCTTTCATTTGAGTTGTTTCCGGGTCGAATTTTTTGATGACATTTTGTGAGCATGTTCTCCATGAAGTTTATATTATGTCCACCAAATTTTAGATTAAATATCAATTGGAAAGTTAGTTAAATAAATTTTTGAA